CGGTTTAACTTCGTCGGTATGGGAATTAGGATAACCATGAAGGGAGGGGAGGGAGGGTGTGTGGAGGGGTGAGTCAATAATAAAATTCCAAACCTCACGACAGACCGAAAAATATAGCATAACATCGCAAAATTTCCTCAGCACTATACTGTTTGAACAGTTTTATTTTTCGTCTTGATGTCCTACCACCATTTTTTCTGTTTTTGTTTTAAGAATAGGTCTTCGCTGCACGCGCCGCAAGCTTGGCTATGAATTCGACAATTACTCGTGAGTTAAAAAATGTTCGCTTCTCGATCGGACCAAAGTTGAATATCTTCTTTTGACAAATATACAAGTATGCTTTACAAATGGCGGCATTGTTGTTTTTTTAGTTGTTTTTCACCGATTATACAAGATCTCCGAAGAATTTAATTGATTGGTACTGAAAACTAATTTGTTAATGCACCTGAGCTATTTAGCTTCAATATTAAATTTATGGTCAATTAAACGATGAAGAGCAGTTCAGGTGATATAATTTATCATATATATAAATTGCAAGGTTTTCCATTAATATTCGGAAACAATCCATTTTACATAGATAATTCATTGGGAAATAGGACAATTAAAACTGTGACGACTGATGTCATACTGCTGTAATGGCATCGATGGAAAACATAAGTATTATCCCTTTTTATTTTTTTCATTCTGTCTTTGGGGTGTAATTCGTTAATTTCTACAGGATACGGGTGTCGTTTTGAAAGAAAACATTTTACATTTGAAAATTCAAAGAAGCAGGAGCCGAATTGAAAAGAAAACGCAAAGATAAACCTGTCAAGAGTTGATCTGTCGCTGAAAGCATCTACAGTGAAAATTCCTCGTACAAACTCGTAACATTGTAAATGTACTTACTGCCAACTGATTATGCGTTAATATTACGATATAGTATAGTTATTTAATAGATATATTAGAAAATAATCCTTACGCTTTCATTGCTCATGTCAGAATATGGCTACATGCTTCTTGCTCCGATGCTTCTCCAACGAAGAATTTTGATTTAAACTTCCTCTCCGGGCACAACATTTTCAAGAGGCAGTTTCAGATGCCACTATGCGGCTCAACCCGAAAACCTGCCGAACAAATGTGGTTCTGACAACCAAGAACGCGCTCGCAGAAGCTAAACGTGGAATAAGTGACTAGAGAGGTCTGACTTCCCAAGGAAGCACCATATTGCTCACCAGAGACTATAGGTTTCGCCAGGGCGGCGGCCCACAACATGATTTCGTTATTAGTATAATTCTCCGAGGACGCGTGAAACGTTCCTTGTTGGAGTCAGTCATTGTTTATGGCCTAGGAGGGGAATGGCATATTTGGGGGATCCCATGGTTTTCAGGGCGAACCGTGAGGGGCTAAGTCGTTACCAGCAAAGTATGAAGGGAGACTAGAAAATTTCTGTTAACAGCTTTTTAAGAAGACTGTCACGACAAAACGATTATGAATTGAAAACTGCATAATTGTGTCGTATCCAAATTAAAATAGCTTTTTAACATGCGCCAAACCACATCTCGTTCATTATTCTAAGCATCCTCCTGGTGTCTGTGTCGTACAAACTCGGACAAGCATACGGGGAGAGCGGGTCAACACTTTAGAGACCAGCAACATGATGTCAATTTTGCATACATAACTTTATTTCCGTTCGAATTTCAGCGAAGCATGGCTGGTGCTAGTTTCTCCGAACAAAAGCGCTAAAGAAATAAATAAGTAAGTCCAATTCAATGAACACACCTAATCAATTTCATCATTACAATACAATAAATAAAACGAACAAAAATGTTGAATACGATAAAGAGAAATCCCCAGTTACTAAGAATAAAAGTGATTAAAAATATTTACAGCAAGTATTACGAAACTCTAAGACACATAAATGATCCTTCAAATCTTGAATACGGGCCTTCAAATCTTAAATACGGGCCATGTTAATATACAATCACTTGGCTCAAATGAAAAGTCGTATACAAGTTCTTCCTCTGGGATCAGCTCCGAAAACTCTAAAAAAAAAGTTGCGTGTTTTTTTTTTTTTTTTCCTTTTTCGCTACAATCCTGCGATACGCTGAGGAACTCATTGCGTCTCTGCAAGATGTCTTGTGCTCAAGTATCCGTTTTTCATATTAGTTTTTGATGTAGTTCTTTACTCTTTTTCACATTTTCTTATTATTGTCTCTAAACCTTGAAGTTTCGAGCCTTTGCNTATTTCTTGGAGTCAAGGCCAACGTTTCCTGAATGCTTGTCTTTTGCGTCTTCTGATTTTTGGAAGGTTCTCAACTGACTCAGTGTGTTACTGATCGCATCGAAAAACTTTTTTCTTTCTTTTGAGGCCGAGCAACGGTGCTCATCAATAAGTTCATACAGCTCATCCCCGTTCACATTATTCTTAGCATCCGAAAGGGCATCGTTCATTATAACGATAAAAAAGTTCATGCAAAGGATAGTAAGAGTTAAAAGAATTAAATACGAGAATACTTTCGCGTATATGGTATTGGCCTCTTCTAGTTCATTGATTGGTCTAGCTTTCACTCGGCCAAGAGTTAGCTCAAGCTGGAAATAAGCTCCTTTTAGCACCGAAGAGTAGCGCTCAGATACACAACCAAACATCAAAACACCCAAGTGCAAAAATGCAACAAAGAAAATTAAAAAAACAAAACTAAAGGAGGTCAAAGATCGTGCAGATATCTTCAATGTTTTGGAGAATAGAGCAACGTGGGTGTTGAAGCGAATGATTCGCAAGAGCTTGGTAGTGACGATGAAAATCAGGATACCAAGGATGGCGTTTTCTACTTCTTGGCAAGTGATAGCTTCTTGAAAACTTGGATTTGCGTAAATGTTTTTATGCACTTTGCTCATGGTTGAGATAACTTTACTCTGTCGTATCATATAAGTCACCACGGCAAATAGAGAGAAAACAATTTGGAATATTTCGATCCAATTCCACATGGACTTAAGATATCGAGAACGATGATTATAAAGCCTCAAGCTTTCTCTCCCAAAATACAAAAAAACAGATACAATGAAGAGAAACGTGCAAATCGAATAAAACTGATAATAGGAAGTGTCAGTAGAATCAATTGATAGAATATAAGTTTGCATGGAAGCTGTTTTCAGCCCAGATGTTTGAACCTCATAGAAGTATGTGGCAACACCTAAAACATTTAATGATGGATTAAACGTAGAAAACTCTGCGATGACCACTCGAGTTTTTTTGTCAAGCCAACTGTTTTTTTGTAAATCTGTTACTATGCTGAATCCTGTATGATTCTGATATCCGAGGTCTGCTACAAATCCTCCTCCATGATAATAAGAGAACTGTCCCCATCTAGGTATAGTGTCGGTGTCATCAACATGTTGATATCGCCATGGCCTCGGGCAAAGACGTAGCAACTTATCGTTCCTCGTAACATTCTCAACAGGCCTCCAGCCTGGTTTATTGTACGCGGTCTTGTCTTCGTTCTCTATCGAGTATCCCTCGAAACATTCTTCGATATAGTTCGGGACTTTACAATGTGCTGCATTTTGAAAAACAAAGGATTGTTACCAAAGAAGCTTGTTTTGGTATTCATTGTACTCAGCGGTTTGCATCTTTTCAATCGTAGTTTTAAAAAGATATGAACATCTCTGTTATGACAAATGAAAGATAGTTGTAGAACCCTTAGAATTTACCGAAGGGGGGGAGGAATGCCGTTCATCGATTCTAACTTTTACGTTGAATAAAAAACGCAGCTTTCCACTCGTCACCAACTATTAGAATGGTCAGAAGCCGAGAGATTTGACACTATTATCTCACTATCAGAGCCGTCTATATGTCTGTGACTATAAAGTATAAAATTAAGTGTGTATGTGTGAATTGCCTTGTCACTAAAATCCAAGACAATTAATGAATAAATAATTAAACAAAAAAACAAGGAAACGCTTACTCGATTTCACTCTGAGTTGCCTTATTCGAGCCATGCCGACGAGAAGAGAGTGTTTATTACCAATATACATTGTTTCCATCTCCTCTTGACCGTTGTACCATCTGCCGGAAAACACTCCTGGGATGTAAACTTTCTGTAACCAGTTCCAGTACAGAGTGTTGTTTTTCACCTGAATTATACAAGATCGTCGGATTAGATGTATTTCGTTTGGTTTATACGTTTAGCTGTATGAATAGATGAGAAGTTTGATCTATGGAAACGAGTAAGTATTTTTAAGCCCGTTTTTAGACTATTATTTCTAATACCCAAAATTAATTCTATTTCCCATTACACCCCATTCCCTCAAAAATTAGTTTTTGTTTATTTATTTCAATAATGTTTGTATGAGTTAGCATCCACTTCAGTTTCTAAATCTCCTCCTTTAACTCTGTAACTCCCAGAAGTGATTAACATAGAACTTCTCCCCAAGATATCTATACATTATTCAGTAAACAGGTAATGAGAATGCTCAAAGTTATCATGTAAAATTTGAAGCCCTGATCTAACACGAAATTCTTGTAACTAATTAACAAAGAAATATATAGCAGCAAGAGGGGAGAATTAACAAAAGGATCTTGGGAGTTCAAAGGTTGATAGAATGTCAATCTCTTTATGGCATTATATCAGCTTGCTTGGAATCTCTCCTTAGTGTTGAGTCTCAGTATTTGCTCAAAACGTCAGTCACCATAGCAGAAAGTGCCGTAGCCAATGTCTGAATTGTCTGTAAACAATTTTATTTTCCAGTTCTTCAGCAGGCCGTCAAAGTAATATTTCCCCTTGTATACTCAATTTTGAACAACACATAGGAATAAAAGCTGTAAGATCAATCAAACACAGAAGTTTCAGCAATATAT